CAACTCTGATTGTCCTGTTAGCTGATGGAATTATGAATTACACTGACTACCAATAAGTATTTGGACACCTATGCAAATGACGATATCTGCAGTCCTAAGGTACGTCACAGAATCCACTGGTATATATCGTGTAGGAAACAGCATCACCATTAGGCGCAAGCAAGATGCCTCGCAGTTCGGAGCTCTCTGATTTCGAGAAAGGTATAATTATCGGGTATCACAAATGTGGGCGATCCTTAAGGGACATATCTAGCGATCTGAAGTACCCAAAATGGTCAGTGGTCTATGTGATTAAGAAGTGGAAGGTGAGCGGTGATTGTCGGAATGTGCCCCGAGCTGGCAGACCAAAGAAACTGAGAAATAGAGACAGATGACAGCTGTCCAGAGAAATTTGGAAGAACCGCACCCAACCGATGGCCCTAATCCGCGAGGAGTTTCAACAGGCATCCGGGAGTATTCTTTAAATGAATACCATCCGTAAGGAAGCACATATGCTTGGTTTTCATGGTTGTGCTGCTGCCCATAAGCCTTTGATCACAAAGTCCAACCGCGCTGCTCGGTTAATGTGGTGCAAAGCACATCGAAATTGGATCGTAGATCAGTGGAAACGGGTTCTTTGCAGTGACGAATCAAGGTTCACCCTTTACCGTACGGATGGCAGGGTCTGGGTTTGGCGTCTACCTGGAGAACCTCTCCTGCCAGAATGCATTGTGCCAACAGTCAAGTTTGGCGGAGGTGGAATTATGGTCTGGGGTAGTTTCTCCTGGTATGGGTTGGGACGCTTGGTCTCCGTTCATGGTAAGCTCAACTCCGATGCCTACTACACTATTTTGGATGACAATGTGCTTCGTACGTTGTGGCAGTTTTACGGGTTGGACCCCTGTTACTTTCAGGACGACAATACCAGTTGTCATGTTTCGATGTTAACCAAGGCTTGGTATGGTGCCAATGGAGTTCCTCGAATGGACTGGCCTGCCCAGAGTCCCCCCTATCGAGAACCTCTGGGCCAAGTTGCATCGCCGAATTCAAAGGTGCACTACCCGTGCAAAATTGGTGAAGGAACTTCTATGTCTTCTCCAAGCCGAGTGGAAGAAAATACCACTAGCTGTCATACAAAGACTTGTGGAAAGTATGCCCCGGAAGGTCCACGCTGTAATTACCTCTCGTGGAGGCTCTACCAACTATTGATTTTGAATATAGTTTTTCTTTTCTATCACAGGTGTCCAAATACTTATTGGCAGTCAGTGTATTATTATTTAATTATTATTATTAATCATTATTTAGAAATGATTCTCATTAGAATAAAATGCATTTGGATAGCATAAGAGTTGAAACTGACTACCTTTCACTGTTTTTTTAGAAAAACATTAACAAACTTCACAAATATAATTAAGACACAAACAAAATACAATTTTAATGCTCCAATTTTTTTCTTATAAATTATAAAGTAAAAACAAAAAATCATTTAAACAAAGAAATACTTTAAAAATCCTCTATTAGTTAGAGTGTTATTAACTAAAGAAAAAATACAGGAATTCAAGGATTTGAATTGCAAAATAATCATGAATCACGAAGATCAACGATATGCAGCGTGTCTTCTAGAAAGCTTGCTGGATCTGGGATATCGTGCAAAAGATCTATTGGAATAGAAAAGAATAGTTATTTAAATTAATTTTACAGCAAAATATATCAAATTAGGAAATTATATGGAAGAAAAAGAAGCAAAAGATACAGCAAATAATAAATAAAAGAAACTCTACAAATTTAGAAAATATTCAAACAGACTGCGTGTCACCTGAAATAAATTTCTTATACAGTGCAAAGTCTGAAATCCAGACATAAGATATCTGGACTTTCCAATCACCATTGATTGATTTTTTTTTTGGGGGGGGGCATTTATTTGCTCAAATACTAAACATCCACACATATTTCCAATCACAAAATTCCTTAAAATATGAATAAGAGTTTAAGAAAATGGTTCAACACTTTAAGTGGAAGAGTTTGCTGTAAAGTAGGTGGACCAGTTTTACTGTTATGTAGACTCCTGCATGCTTAGCCATAACATACCTTTTAAGTAACATAACTTTTAGAGGTATTGGGAAATAAAAAATCTCATTGTGTGTAGAGTGTGTTCTTTTGTGATATTTACTTCACTCTAACTGTAATTCAAGTTTCATATTGTTATATTTCATTTTTTATTAAAAAAGTTACAGATGTCACTTCCCTTCATTCTGCATGAGTAGACCCTTTAATCAAAGGCACATTCTAACACAAAATAAATGCAAAAGAGATATTTACCCAAAACATCACAGAATTCTGCAAAAGATTGCACTGGCAACAGATCATCTTCAAAGAAACGCAGCAGATTATCACCAGCTTCCAAAAGTGGCTGATCATTTTGTCGAATATAATCAGCCAGTACAATAGCCCATTCTTCATTCTCAGTAACAGCTACTTTCTATATAAAATAATTAAATTTTATATTAAGAAAACAATTTAATCCTTTTCCATATATATATATATTCAAAATACAATATTATGGCATTTATTTTATATATAAACTCATTATAAAATTAAAAAAATGATAATACTCAATTAAATGATTTCATAGTAAATATTAAATAAATAAAACTTTAAGTGTTAAAATCTGCAGAAAAAAAAACTAGTTACAGATAAAAATAAAAAATCTGAAAGGGTTCAGATTTTAACAGTAGCCCAAAAAGGCTCTTTTAAAGTTATCAGCAAAGATTATAAATAGAGTTGGTCCAGGTAGAAAACAAAATATTTTGCACAATACTAAATGAATATACATTTACGGTAACAAAACGTTACATACCTTCTGTCTATTTGAAAAGTGAAAACATACATATAATGTAATTCTATAAAAATATTTAATGTTTTTAATTGAATATATCATGAATTAAATGCATTTTTATTTAAATCAGTCAGATAAAAAAAAAAAAAGTAGAACTGTATCTACTGCTTTGGATAGCTTAGTTTATTAAGAAATAACAGATTAAATTTGAAAGATCCTGTAGTCATGGATATGAGATTTCATTATATATTCATTTATATAAGCTTCTTTAATTCAATAAATTTCATTTATTACTGTAAAGCATTTTTAACAAAAGCTTAAAAATTAAAAAGCAGATGTAATGAAATATAAGGATAGTTAGTAGCTATGAACACAGTAATCAATCAAATGAAACATCTCCTAGACAAGTTGCCTTGGCTCCACATATCTTGAAATTTTAACAAGAAACTGTCTTAAATCCTAAGTGGTTCCTTGTTATAGTAATTACATTGTGGAGAAAATTAAAAATTTTCCCCGTTATTAATGTTGTTAATTTTTCATATTTCAAAATTTTAATATTTTCTGAAGTGGCTTTTCCTAAATTAAAAACTTAATACAGGACTAGGGACATTAAATTAAAGGGGGTATATGCACATACTAGTGTAACAGAACACTATCCTTTGAAATACATTCTTAATCTAGGAAAGAGTATGATAATATTACGAAATTTGACAGGTTTAATAAAAGCATTAAATTAAAAACATATTTCAGAAGGTTCATTTATAACATGCTAACTATTTATGTATATTATTGTTTTTCATCTAATACCGTAAATTCTCAGATGCCAAACTTTTGTGAAACAGTTAGCGTAAGCTTAGGTACCATGATAGCTGCAATGCATACTTTTACAAATTAGAAACAAAATTATTCAAACTACACTTTTTGTCTTAATTTTAGGATGTTGAATAATGAGGGGAATAAGAGGGTGTTTACACACTTTCAGAACAATTTTGATAAGGAATTAAAAAAAAAAAAAAAAAAAAAAAAAAAAAAAATCTGAACGGTTGGGTGTTTTTTAAACGTTTTGTATGTTACCTTTATTTATTAAATATCATGTCCTTTGCACTTAAACCATAAAACTCAGTTCAAGAGCAATATCGCAAAATAATTTTAAAATGAGAATCTTTAGAATCTTTAGAATTCGATACACAGTCTCGTGTGCTAGAGATAAAAATGTTTTTTGTGTACAACGTCATCATTGCTCGCTTTGAAATCGTTGAGTTTGTTATCAAAAATTTCGTTAAAGTTTACAAAATATGAAATCGATAATATTTTAAATTTGGTCTTCCACATGCCCATATTTGTAGGAGGATTATGCCATTCAAAATTCGATGGCTCTATGTACCGTTGTTTTATCATAATGCAAGAAATATACATACATTTATGCAGATTTTTCATTATATAATTTCTTCAAATATAATGTAGGACTCTAACATTTGGTGGCAACAGTTTGAAAAGTGATTCACCGTTTATAGTGACTAAACATAAAATCCAAAATGAAAACAATAGTCCTTCAGGGACAAAGCCCCTTTGGACAAAATGTTTTGGAATAAAAATTTCTGGCAACAGCTTATTGTTTGGAATGAGAAATACAGTCTATTACTTTCAAATTCATTCCTCTTTCAAAATGTTGCATGTAAACAAGCTGTGGATTGAAGAATATATTTTTGCGCTTTCCAAAGAGAAATATTCCTATTCCATAATTAAAAAATATTATAAAATGCATGGTATTAAATTTTTTTTTAAGCACAAAAGAAGCAACATTATTAATCAGAAGAGGAAGAACTGTTAGTCATTACTTTTACTTAGAAAGACGACTCCAAATGAATACCCAAAAATGGTACATACTGTTTTAATGTTTCTAAAATTAAATTATTGGTAATAAGAGAAAATCCTCTGATGCAGAAGTCGATTGCACAAAGTCTTTAAATACATCTGTCGGAACAAAAAATAAAATAAATCTAGATTTTCAACTTAAAAAAAAAAAACAATGTTCATCAACTTTTGAAGAGGCATGAGGCTCAATGCAGAACAATTTGTAGAAACCCGCATGAAAACTATTTAGCAAGAAGTAAATGGAAATACATTGTGAATCTTGATGAAGCATGGGTTTACCTAAATGATCGCAGCAAAAAGAGTCTTTTTATTATTAAAAAAAGAGAAAAAATGCACAAACCTGTAGCACCAATGCACATAAAGTTTCAATAAGGATTTATGATTGTTGGAGGATTCTCTTACAATGGGAAATTAAAACTAAGATGTGTGTGTGGGGGATTAAATCAACTCGATGTACTATAAAGCCCTACATCTGATATTTATAGAACATATTCCACTTTTTTAAAATCCCAATAACTTTAAAAAAGTGAAACTTTATCAAGACAAAGCAACAAGTCATATTTAGAAAAGTACCACAGCATTCCTTTATAAAATGAAGACCGTTACAAGTATTGCATATATACAATTTCAACAAATTCCTGTGAAGTGCTCCGACATTTCACCTATGGAGTACTGTGCCTTTGGTCTTTTGAAAAGAGCTCTTTCTGAGCCCAAACCCACAACAAATGGACTCTGGAAAGTAGTAGAAGAGGAACTGAAATCAACACCTCTGAAAATTTTACAAAAAGCCCTTCTAATATGGATATCATGATGCAGACTTATAATTCAAGACAATAAGATGGAACATTTATAAAAAATACTGTTTACATTTAAAACAGTAAGTAAAAAGTCCCAAAACTGTTCTAAAATTAGATAAACACTATATTTTCTCTTTAATAATGAAATAATTTCCCATAAATTATTTATAATTTCCTAATTTTTATGCTTAGTTCTACTGAATTATATACCTTAACTAAAATTCCAAATAGCATAAAAGTTTTTAATCAAGTTTTAATTATGATTTCTTACACATTATACACGTGAAACTTATACAGTACAAAGTCCGAGATCTGAACGTCGACCTTAAAAGCCACCAACAAGAAATTTTTTTTTGGAATTTTTTTAATGCTTCACACATGAGCATTTGATTTTTTCCCCCGTAAGAAAACATGTGGAGAATTCCGATTCTTAATTTCACTTTGGCATTAAATAAAATACCTCATTATTGAAGAAACAATCATTTTAGCAAATTTGTGTGACCAATAATTTATGGATTACGGGAGGATATACTTCCAGATACTTTAAAAAATGTCTGGCATAATTTATGGCCAGCTACCATATTTCATGGTGAGGATGATGAAAACGATAGTCGCAAATTCGAAGGCTTTCGGATATTGCAAACCACAGTTGGATTTTTATAAAGTAATTTGGAGAAGCGGTAATAAATGAAGATGAGATAACAGAAGTTTTTCAGTGCGATGACACTGCTCCAATCATCAATTAATTAACTAACAGTGAAATCTGTAGCATAGATCTAGATCCAGAAAATACTGCTATTAATAGTGAAGAAAGTGAGAGAAAGGTTATTGAAAACAAAAAAATTCCATTTGACAAGTTAGTCGCGAATTCTTGACACAGCAATTACAGGCCCTTGAACAGTGGAACTTTGTAATTGAACAAGAAATTATGTCTGTCTATTTAATTGAAGAGAAGGTATTAGTACAAAAAATGAAGCAACTTAAATAATTTACATTGAAAGAAATGTTTAATAAAGTAAATAAAGAATTTTTTTTGTTTTTGTTTGTAAATTTGGTACCATATAGATCATAAATGGTTCATTATTTCATAAATCATGATTTTATATTTTTAATTTTATAATTTCTACATGCCATCTTACTAGATTTAAACTGATGATCTAATATCCAGAAAAATCCCAAATTCAGAATCGCTGAAGTCCTGATCCTGATCTTTGTACTGTATATGGAAATATTACACTTTCATATAAGCCAAAAGAAAGACTATTCACGTAGAAACTTTAATAAGAAGACTGCATAACAAAGAAATTTATTCAAGAGGAAATAAATGCAAAGTAAAATTACCTTGAACATTTTCTTATAAAGGCCATCTATTAATCCAAAGAACAGAAGATACGATTTATATACACTGAAATCTTTTACTGATGTATCACTTAGACTTGCAGTTCCCTGAGGACTGACATGCCTTGCTTGTGAAAGAATTAAAATTCGTTTCAAAAAGTTCAACTTGAGTTTTTGCCATTTGGATGAGGGAAAAACTATCACACACATAGTCATCCAATACATAGGACCTTCAAGCTAAAAGCAATTTATGAGATATTAAGTATGCCATACATATCTTATCTCAACTTCATGATCAGACTAAGTTATAACACATTAATAAATATAAAATTTTAATCACTTTAAAATCCCTTGCAGAATCAAAACTTACCATTTAAATCTGCATGCAAATTAAAATTATTTTAGAAGAAACAAAGTAAATTACATAAAATTAAACTGAAATGAATAAAAATTTCACCTAACTTTACTAAATATAAAGTATAATACATGTTATACAGAATTTGCATGCTGTATATATGTAATAAATTTGAAAAGTTGATTTCCCCTTAGAGATATTCAGAGTCATGTAGATGCAATAAGAAACAGTCATGGCAGAATTAATAGTTTTTTTTATTTCTTGTTATGCACATTTCTAAGGTGACAAAATAACAAAGAACCAAATCAATACTATCACATTTTAGTATGCTCGTTGCTGCGTCAGAGCTTAAGTTACACTGGAGCCAGGCATGAAAGTGCAAGTTGGCAAAAAAAGCTGAACAACGCGCAGACACAAAATTACACAAAAACTAAATGCGTACGCGTGACCTCCCCCCCAAAAAAAAACACATTTTTTTAAATATACCAACCTTTTAATGTAAAAACATATTAAACATATACATTAAACTAAAATAATACTTGTACTTACTATTTTGCTATTAATTTTATCTTCCACTTCGTTAAAAAAATCAAAGTAAATCACCAAAGAGATTGTAATGAATTAACCTTCTTTAAGATACTCTTTATGAAACTTAATTTAACTTAACAGTTGATACATGAATACTGTACACAACATTACAACACACTAATATACATACTTATGTATTACTGCCCATTTTCAGGCAATGACAAGTTTTAGAGATAATAAATATATATACATATATAACTGTTACTATAGCTTTCAATTATCTTCACTTTTAGTTCAATAAACAGTACTTTAACATAACAACAGAAAAAGCAGTCATGTGAGATAATATAGTAACAAAATAACATAACATATAGTTAAAGGAGGAATTTAAAAAATAACTATTTTGTCTGTCTCACTCAATCCTGATTAAAAATTTTTAGGGAAAAAACCTTTTCTTTTTTGCTACTTTTGCAGCCAACTTTTCTAACTTCCCTTTGCGAGCTAGTTTTAATTTCTTTTCAGCAGCTTTTATACAATCCATTGATACTTTTTTTATTTTCTGCAAAGTTTAATTGCTTTTTTTTTTTTTTTTTTTTTTTTAAAGATTCTCGCTCCTCCTTTTTTATTTTTAGCTCTTCTTTGTACAGTTTATGAGCATTCCTTAAATTTTTACATAAAGTTTTGTGTACTGGAGAATGCAAGTGGTTATCCGTATGTCCGACAGATGGTGCCAGCACTGATCCTTGAAATTATTGAAGTCAACTCTCGTTTGACGGTTGCTTGTTCTTGATTCGACATTCGTGTGCATCTAGTTCCGCCTTTCCACATAAGCCCCACCTACTTCGCCTTGATGTAAAACAACATATTTCGCGATCTCTGGCATGATGTAAAGTTTTTTTACAAAGAAAAGAGGAAGAGAGCGTGTCCTCCTTTTACCCCCCCCACACATTTGCCGATTGTTATTTCTCAATGGTTCTACATCGATCTCAGAAACAGCCCGGGTGACGTTCAAAAAAGCGGAATTCCACAAAAACGCTGAAAACTTTCATGCCTGTGGAGCCTAGCACAGGTACTTTTCTCAACTTCTGAGGTATACCATAATTGCAGAAGGAGTGCACCAGAGCCCTAAATAAAAGGACTTCAGTAGTTATTTTATGTAAGTGAAACACAGTTTCAGCAGACATTTTACGAGTTAAAATATATATTTTATGATTTTAAAAATAAATAAGTCTCTAGCCTGTCTTTCCTTGGGGAACAAACACCTTGATGGAGGTTAAAACTTTTAAGGAAAGAAAAGTCCCCATCCACATGTCAAAAGCTTATTTTATTTATTTATTTATTAATTTTTTTTTTCAAATTTGTGACTCTCTGGTACATGATATGAGCATTTACTATAGTTATTTCTAAGAGCAAATGTAGTGCTAATTTCCAGTACCACTTGATGCTCCCCACTTCCCAACTCCCTAATTTTTTTCCTTCCCCCCCACCTTTTTTTAAAACTTTTATAACCAACTTTTCTTTCAAAATTAATCTAGTAATGCTTAAACGTACAACTAAAAGAAATTATATGGTTTATTTTTAGCAAAATGTAAACTTCTAATTTAATTATACTGTGAAGGGCCAACTAAAACTTTTCCTTTTCATGAAATTTTCTTATGCAGAGAATTTCAAAATGAGAGAAAATAATAAAAACAAATTTAAAATAAAATGACAGAAAAATATAATGTGAAATGTGCTACAAAGAAAATACAAACTAATCAAAACAGAGGAAGGAATTTTAAATAAAACATTTGCCACACAAATGCATGAAAATGTCTGACTGAAGAGCAGAAAGAAAAGGAAAAATTAGATTAATTCAATCTGAATTTACAAATAATTCAGTCCTATGAATTCGTTTTCACACAGTAGGCAACATCAAGATACTTTAAAATTTCCAGATTTAAGAAAATGCATATTATTTAAATAGAAGATAAAAGCAAACCAAATTTGTGTACATTAAAAACAAAATTATACATTTACCTCATAGCAGTTTTCTACCCATTTGCTACGTTGCATTTCCAGGAAATTAATGATGTTTTTCTCTTCACTACTCACAAAACGTGTTCTGAAAAATAAAAATTTATTATTATGCATATTAGAATCAAACACAATTGTTATGATTAAAAGTATTTTAATGTTTTTTTTTTTTTTTTTTTAAAATTCCAGTTTGAAATATGATCATGGCCAAATCACAAGTATCTGATGTCCTTAAACAAACGAAATCTAAAACACTCCCCACACATTGTTTCTATGATGCATTTAATGATGCCTCTTTACGATGATGACCGGCAGTTCTAGACAATTCTAGGCACATGTGAAGGTTGTCACGTTGAAGAACATTACTAGTGATGTTCAATACAATTTCTTAATTTTCAGAACAACTGATTGAATACCTATTTATATTAGGTAAATAATGCCTGTTTAACAAGAAACTAAGCAATATTTATCAAGCTTTTAAAAACCAAAATGATTTAATTGTTTATTTTGTAAGACATGCATCCACGATTTCAGTGCCCATAGAAAATTACGTAAGTTTGTTTAATGATAAAACTAGTCCTGATATTAAATAAACTAATTTTAATACAATTAAAATACTCAAGGTAAAATGACAATGAGAATTGATAAAAAAGTCTATTTTCAATACATTAAACATTCCTTTTTCAACAAAAATCATTGATAAAATTGCAGGAATTTTTGTAAGGTTTGTTTTTGAAATGCACTAAAAGTAAACGGAAAATTAATTTTCAATTTATAGTTTTTATCGCAGTATTTTTTTTGTTTCATAGAATTATCATGTATACCTTTAATTTTGTTTAAATTTCTTTAATTTTGTTTTAAAACGCAAAAATTTATGCTACTGCTATACATACATACACATATTATATATACAGTACCTGCTTGCTGCTTATTAAAATTACTTCTGTTTTCAAAATGAGTTTATTAAGTGGCTGAGTTTAGATAATGATTTGTGTATTGCAAATTGTGTTTTCAGTTCTAAACCTTTCAAGTAAAATAATAACTAACAACTAATTAATTAATCCTAAAATAATAAAAATTAATGCTAAAATTAAAATATTTGTGCAATTTTGAAATTAGTTTTTTTTTTTTTAATTTTTGTAAAAATCTTTTAAACTTTTTTGATTTCAGTTCAAGAGCTTTTTTTTTTTTATTATATTTTTTAGAATTTGCAGTGATTTTCTAGATTGGATTGATGATGATATATCATCCCTTTTGCTATATCACTTTCCCTGTCTATTTCTGCACACATTAGTCAGTTTCTACAAATGCTGTCTCAGTATTTTTGTAGACAGACACATATTATAAAATGAATTTTCAAAACATGTCACTAACTATAATTTGCAGTTTCTCCAAGGTTTCTTTTACATTAAAGCCATATTTTTCAAAATAATTTTTTTATAAATAATACAAAATAATTTTTAACTGATTTTAAGAGGTTAATTTAAGAGGCATTGACTATACCGTGCACACTTCTGGCAGAGATACTGGCTTATTTATATCCTTCGAAGTGCTTGCATTTTCACAAAATTCAATTCTGTTCATCGATTTCAGAACATCTTTTCTATACTGACATTTCAAAATTTTATAATAGACAATAATTAAAGACTGAATCTTACAAGTTGTATATAAAAGAGACACTAATGTTTTATAGAAAGTGATCAGAGGTCTATATGAAGCTTAGTCAGGCATTAGTAAAGCTATTTTTTTATTTATCAGTTCGCTGTTCCATTTCAAAAGAAAATCAATAAAAATACTACTTGTCATCCATGAGTTCTTTTTGTGTAATGAAATTAACTTTTGATTCTTTTCAAACATCAACTTTTTTTTGCGTTTATCAATAGCTAGTGCTGTCACTTAGTTGTTGGGTTCCTATTACATGCTAATAATACAGTAAATTATATTTTGGTTTCTTAAATCAATTGTAGTTTCACTTTTAAATAAATATGCATGTTCTCATCATGCTCTAGTTACGTCTGTATTATAAATTTCATGTGGCTTGTATTAATTTAGTGAACAAAATAAAATGTTTTGTTCATTTATCAGCTGCATGATGATCTGAATCTTTCTGCATATTATGCAGTTTCTAATGAACAATGTTAGATTTCTCTTTCTCCAACTTGTGAGCCATCTATCAGTTGATGTAAATATTCTGTCCTAGCATTTAGTGAAGTTACAAAAAAAAAAAAAAAAAAAAAAAAAAAAAAAAAAGATATATTTTTTAGTTTTATAGCTTGAAACCATTCTAAAAAAGCAACTTTAACATCTATTAATTTTCTATCTTTTTTTTTTTTTGCATCACGATGTGTAGGAAACTCCAGTTTAGATGTAGTTTTTCTCTGACTGCAGTTACCAAGAGAATTAGAATCTTTTAAAAATGTATCCTTTCTTTTTGTTTGGCATTTTCAACATGTTACAAGTTAATCACACAACATTAAAAAAATACTTCTTCGGATGATTTACCCAAATTTCAAAATTTATGTTTCTAAGCAGCAGAAACATAAATTTACTCTATCTGCCACTTCATGATTACAAGCATGACCAATGCTTTCCTTGTTCTTCCTTCAGTCTACAGTTACCACTTCCTTTCCATTCAAAGATTCTTAATATAGTATGTTAATGCTAAGAAGCCTTTCCGAAATTTTCCTTATAACTCTCTATGTACAAAATGTACCTGTCCCAAAGGGAAGATTTTGAACGTGGAAACCTTAATAAATTCGATACAGAAGTTGCACTTTCACCTCCTACCAGCTACTATTCAAAAAGAAACCTAAATTCATTTAAAATATCAAAATAAGATCATTTTTGTTAACTACTTTCACCTCCTACCAGCTACTATTCAAAAAGAAACCTAAATTCATTTAAAATATCAAAATAAGATCGTTTTTGTTAACTTTAAGATAAGGAAATTATGTGTTTCAGTAGTTCTGTGCTGACAAACTTTGGAAACAGTTTCTTGCAGGAACAAGGACTGGAGGGTAAAATATGCGGTCAAGCCCATTTTATTAAAGCACTATATTTAAGCTGAACTAAAGACATGGGTGAACTATGAAAAGCTTTGATAGGTACTAAATCAGATATTCTGGCACTGAACAAGTAATCTTTTGCCAATCAGAGTTTAATAAATGTGAGCTATGAGTTTGCTAAATGTCAGTATTACTACTAATTAGTATTTTTTTATTACAGGAAATCTGAACATAATAAGCAGGCGAGTTTATTAATATTTGAATATAATAGGGCTGAGGCTTGAATAGTGGATTTATCTTAAAATATATATGTATATATTAAGATAAATCCAATATTCAAGTCTTACAAAAGATGTACTTACCTTCCCAAAACTGCATCAAACATACCTGGCTATTATATTTGAAATGCTGAATCACAATGCCACCTAAAGCTAAAAAATTAACTTGGTTTCCGCATAATTTCTGACACACCTATTTACAGGTATCACTGTTTAAATCAACAAAAATAGTTATTAGCTAAAAAAAAGAAATACATTTTTAATTTAATTAATTTACATTGGTGGCTGTGAAGCTTTATCTTAACAACCCTTTTAATGCTTGGAAGTTGGTTGACCATAAAAACGTAGAATCTAGAGTAGAAACGTAGAGCTGTAGAATGTAAAAAAGATGGCTGTAGCTAAAACTTGGGCCAGGGAAATTCTTCCCTTCCATTTAGGTTGCGGAGAAAGTTACTGTGCGATAACTTTCCCCTGCCACTTGTCTGATGACCTTCGCATCTTGTAATTATGGGATTTCATTCCCCTTCATTTCCCCTCAACAGCGCAATATTAGTTGGAGGCAAAAACTTTCAGTTAGTTGTGTTTGGCATGATTAGCTTGCTCTCTAGAATGCTACTTAAGTAAGCTAACCATACTGATATGCATATGGTGTATATGTATATATATGTCATAATAACAGCACAAGGAAATGACGGAACACTGTACATGCGTGATTAGACCCATATTGAAGAAGAATTTTGATTGCGTAGTATTTAAAGAGCTTGGCAGTCGAGGCAGTTTTAATTCCATTTTTATTTCCAATTGATATTTGTGGCCACAATCACTTGGCACTCTAGTCGTGCCTTTCCACAATAGATTTACATTTTTGATATTGTTGAGATAGAAAGCAAGCCAGCGAAATTACATCTTAGCACAGTAGAGAGCAAAAGCTGAAGTGCGTAGTTATGAAAGATAGAAGCACGCGAAGAGAAAAGTTTTGTTTTACAATTCGGTGATTGGTCGTCAAGAGGCATCTGGTATTAACGGTTACATAAGATCGCATGATTAATTTGAATGACGCAATGCAGATACGTTATTACGATTTTAGAATAGAGAGGAAGAATTAATGTTTTTAGTTATTCTGATTCATATAATTTTATCTTACATATTCCCCCCTTCAAAAAGAAAAAGGTGTAGCGACAAAGAAGCCTTTTTTGAAGAGAAAGAGTTAAAGCACTAGCAAATGTAAAAAAAAAAAAAAAAAAAAAAAAAAAAAAAAAAAACATAAATCATAAATTTTTTTTTCTGTAAACTATAATTTATAAATATCAATTTTTTTTTTTTAAAATAAATTTTTCATTTTAGAGTCCTATTGAATTTTTCAGCATTTCAGTCCAAAAGTCTTTTTGTCTGAGAGTTCACATAATCATAATTCTTCAGGGAAGGTTCTTGTTATCACAGAGTATAACAAAATAAACTTTTACATAATCATTACTTATAATTAAATGTAATGCACATAAATATTTATGATATTAATTTTCATATTGATAAATTATATTTTAATACCATATAATAATAGGAGTAAGCTTCAGAAATTATGGTTTCACTGTTATCATCTTTCATTTACAATTCCTGATTTTACCAAACTGGAAGCCTCGCAATACTTCTTAACAAACATATCCATCAATAGGCTGTCCTCTTGAGCTAACCAGTGTGTTCTCTGCACTGGTGGCCCAGGGTGCCTAGGCAGTTACTTGAAAAGGCCTCCATTCCTTGCATTAAGGTAACTGGCCTTTGAGAACTGCACTAATACATTCCATAATAAA